GTACAGCACTGTGCTGTCGATGCGGACTGAGTCAGAGTATGAGCAGCGCGCGGCGCCGCCGCACGGCCGCGCGGGCGGCGCGGGGGGCGGGGGCGCGAGGGGCCAGCGGGGCTCGGCGCAGGTCGAGTCGGGCAGGAACCTGGGAGGGGGGTTTAAGGGTTCAGGGTTCAGGGTTCAGGGTTCAGGGTTGGGGTTTGAGTCGACGGTGCGCGTGGGATGCGTGGGCCAGAGGCTGTGGTCGGCTAATATTACTTGATGAATGTCAGAGGGGCCTCCAAGAGAATGCCAGCAGATTACCAGCCGCCAGCGGCCAGCTGCCGCAGCCTCCGTGGCACCTCTCTGGCCGCCGAGCACCCGGGGCAGTTGAGCTGCCCACCCCTCTTGGCCTGCTAAATTCCAGGCCTCGGATATCCGAAACGAACCCGAGAAGGGGGGGCCCCAGAGAAGTCATTGAAACAGGCAAAGTTGCACGAAATTCATTGTGCGCGTGACAGGATCAATCGTGCGTAGTCCTCGTCCCCCGCCCACCTGCTTAAGACGAGAGCCAGGCGCGCCTCCCGCAGCCGCCCCCGGCCGCCCCGCAGCCGCACCTCCACGCCCCCCGCCGCCGACACGGACGCCGCCACGATGCGCAGCGGCCCGCGCTCTGACCCCTCAACCAGCTGCGGCCCGCCGCCGCCGCCGCCGCCGCCGCCGCCGCTGTCCGCGGCGGCCTCCAGCCCTGACGCCGCGCGGGGCGGGCGCAGGAGCAGCGGCGCGCCGCCGCCGCAATCCACGCGGGGAACCGGCGCCGGGCGCAGCACCTCAATCGAGACGCAAGCCTCGCCCCAGAGCGCGGCCGCGCCGCCGCCGCCGCCTGCTGCGTCGAATGACACCGCGTCCTCTCCAGGCGCCGCAGCCAGCTGGGGCAGCAAGAGCCGGTAGTGCCCGACAGGCAGACCACTTATAACCAGCGCCCCCACCCCGCCACCCCTGCTGTTGCTGCCGCCGGCGCCGTCTGCAGCAGCCGGGCGCTCCGGCCCAAGGTACGCACCGCCCGCGTCCTCGAGGACAGTCGGAGACCCGCCCAGTGCGCGCGGCGCGACGCGGAACAGCCGGGCGTGAGGGATGGGGCTGCCAGGGGCTGCGGGAGCGAGGCCCTCGGAGGCTGCGCGGAAGGGGAGGGTCAGGGTCGCGCCGTATGGGATGGCCACCTGGATGACATCATGGCAGGCGGGGAGGGCGGGAGGGCCGCGGCGCGGGGCGGGTGGTGTGAGGGGCGCGAGACAGGGGGCACCGGGAGCATTGTTGAGGACGGAGCGGCAGGCAGACAGCCAAGATCCGGCCGTGAGCGGCGGCTTGGACAGCATGCCCACCCAGCGCCGCCGCGGCAAGCAGCGGCGCGCAGGGGCTGCCCCGCCGCCGCGAAGCGCGCGGCTCGGCGCGCACCCGGATGCGACCCGACAGCCAAGAGGGCGCACGACAACGGACAGCCCCGGCCCCGCCAACGCTGGCGCCGCCTCATGAAAGCGCCGCGGTGCGCGCACCTGCCGCGGCAGGGGGGCGTCCTCCCAGCTCATGCAGGAGATCCGCCATCGCCGGGCTGGTCCATCGCCGCCCCCGCCGCCGCCGCCGCCGCCGCCCCGGCCGCCCTCCCCTCCCTCGTCGCCGCAGACGCGTGCCCAGAGAGTCCTCACGCCCCCCAGGGGCCCCAGCCAGGCGGTGCCGTCGGGGCCGGTCTGCTCGGCGGTCGTTTCGGCGCGGGTTTTGGGGGTGGCCAAAGAGAGGGAGGGTCTGGGCTAGGGCAAGAGGGGGCTTGTATGCAGGCCGCACCCGGGCTTGAATGAAGTGGGACGCGGCGTTTGTGCCCCCCTGCTCGAGCTGCTTGAGAGAGCTTGCACATGCCAATCCGCGTCAACTTGATGTAATCAGCGAGTCCATTTGATCCGACCTGGCTCGCAAGTGACTCGAATTCAGGGCGCCCGCACCTGCAGCTTGAAGGTCAGCCGCTCACAGTCGCTCCAGGTCGTGGACGACAGCTGCGATGATATGGACGCCCAACGCAACAGCGAGAGACTGGGCGATAGTGGTCAGCGCGTCAATTGTATGCAAACATAAGCGCAGGGCGCTGACAGGCGTTCGGCACAGACACCATGCACACGGCATCTGAGCGAGTGCTGCTGCCCGCCATTGTGTCGCTGCAAACACCCAAGCAATTCATGTGCCCCAAAGCGCCCATGTTTGACCCACCTTGACCACCACCGTTTTTGGCTCCAGCGGCGTCTCCCCCGCCCGCCCCAGCACCTGGACCCCGTACTCGACAGCAGCACCCTGCGCGCCTGCCTCGCCGGCGCCCCGGGCGCCCGGGGCGCCGGACACCTGGCGCGGCCGGCCGCGTGTTAGGTAGACATCCCACACGCGGCCGCCGCCGTCGCCCGCGCAGACGCTCCAGCTGCAGGCAAGGAGGCAGGGGCAGGGGCAGGGGGGGTGCGAGGCGGGTTGAGGGCAAAGCATCAAGATTCGACCGGCGCTCGCGGCTGGTCATGTCAAAGATGTCCACTTCCCCCAAATGATACATGCTGTCGATCTAGGGCATTACCACCAATTCATCCGGCGCCCCGTTGAGCTTGGATCGAGCCGCAATCGAGCCCCCATCTCCGCAGAGGCGAGTCTCAGATTTCGGCCGCGCCGCTGCATGGCACCCGAGCGATCCCTCCGCGCGTCACCTGCAGTCGTGGCTGAAGTCTTGGTAGGCGGGCTCCCCGTTGACGCCGGGGGCCGCCAGCTTGATGCGCGCCGTCAGCGACGCGCGGAGCGCGCAGCACCTGAGGCGTGGGCGAGCAGATGAGGGCGGCGGGTCGAGCAGAGTTTCCTTAATATCCGGCGGCACAGCGAGCCCCATCTGCTGGTGCGTGGTGGCATACGCAAGCAGTGAGGGAATCATCATGCAGGTTTGACTACTGGAGTCGATTGCGTCAGGGTGGCAACGGCATCACCGAGCCGGTACAATACATATGATCTGCAAGATGGTGCGCACCTGTCGGGCAGCTGGGCGGTGTAAGTGCCTTCCCCAGTGATGGGGTTGAGGGGGAGGTCAGCCGCAACCGCCGCGACCTCGGAGCCGTCGCGGGTGGTGGACGTCACCGACAGCGTCACCTGGTGACGTGGGTGAGTGGTCGGGTAGTGTGTGAGTGATTGGTAGTTGAGCGGGTGGTGGTGGGTGTGTAGGTGGGTGGGCGGGTATTTGGGCGAGTGAAATGGTGACGCAGTGGTTGGATGGGTGGCTGGGCGGGTGAGTTTTCCTTCAGTGGGCCTGTGTCCAACTCAGCGCCGCGCTCCGATACCAAGCAGCCCGCAAGTCGACGCCTACCGTCAAGGCTACATGGGAACATGGGAACAGAACACAGCCAGCGCCTCACTTGTTCTCAAACCATCCACGCCACGCCGCTGCTGTCCACGTGACGCCACCACCGGCGTACAAACAGGCCCAGCGCAAAAGCCGCTAGAATCCGGTTTAGAAACGAACCAAAACGAGCAGAGCAAAAATCATAAGGGGCGCGCCTGTTCCAGGAGCTCCAGCGGCGCGGGGCTGCCGTGCAGGGCCAGTGAGACCCTCACTGTCAGCAGGGCGGGCGCACCCGGCAGCAGGCCCTCCTGGGGGGCCGCGACCTGGGCCCCAAAGGCGTACCACTCTGGCAAGTGCCTGGATGGAGGCGGGCAGCGCAGGCGGGCCCTCTTTATTTAACGGATTGAGCATGCATGCGTATGCGTCAGGCTTTCATAAGCAAAGGTGAAGGTGCGATCCGTCAGCCAGACGGCGGGTGAAAGGTGAGAGGGCGCCCTCTGGAAACCTCATCACAATCAGAAACAACACTTCAACCCTGTCGCCGTTCAGTGCAAACCAGCTGGCCTAAGCAGCAGCTGCTCCCCCCTCCAATAAACTCCACCCCCCTCACCTCCAGTCGGTGATGACGAGTGCCGGGCTGCCTGGCGCCGACCCCGCCACCACCAGCGGCGTGCGGCGCTCGGCGCGGCCGTAGGGCACGACCACCTCCCCCTCCCCCTCTTGCCCGGGTCCCGCGCCAGGATCACCCTCCCCCGGCGCCGCCGCGGGCTCCGGCGTCAACTCCCTGCCGTCCAGCCACACGCGGGTGTCCTGTGAGTGCCCAGGGGGATGAAAGGGCCTGGCTTGGGGGAAATGAAAGGGGAGAACAAATGCAAACCTGAAGCGTGCGGCGGTGTCCCAGCAAGCAAGGGGCGCCGCCCTCGCCCTGCTCGGCCCCCGACACCGCCCGGCCTGACACTGACACGTCTGACTCCAGCGCTTCGGGGAACCCGCATTTTCGCTTGACTGAAGGGTGATCCTGGCGAACGCGGAGTGGCTGTGACCGACCCAACCAGGCCCCAAGAATTTCCATCCCACAGCTCAGAAGCAGACCTTGATGGGTACCCAGGCCTCGTCGAACGCCGTCAGCACGTGGCCGGCCAGGGACAGCCGCTCCCGCAGGCGCACGCAGCCCTGCGACGCATTCAGAGGGCAGGGCGGGGCGGGTTCTACTTGCGACAATTTTCTGGGCGCTTGGAATAAAGGCACGGCTCTGGCGCCGCGCAGACATACGGTCGTTGCCATGCATCAGCTGGCAGTCCAGCTTGCGAGGGGGGGGGGTCGCAGGCCTGGGGGCCTGGGCAGTATGAACAGGGTGGGGGGCGGGGGTGCGGGCGATGACGACGCATGACGTCACCTTGTGGATGAGGGCGCGGATGGTCTTGTCCGCGCCGACGGCCTCGAACATGAAGCTGCCCGCGTGCCCTGCCAGGCCCCGCCACTCATGGACGCGCCTGCGGCCCGGGAATAGTGGTTGCCCGGGAAGGGGTCAATCGTGCGGGTGCGTGGGCCGCGGCCAGTCGAACAAAAAACGTCAATTCGTCGCTCCTAACGCCCAAAAGCCACGCACACGCACATTAGCCCCCTGCTGGTGCGCCTCACGACGGCTCAAAAATTTGCCCCCTCTACCTGCCCCCTCACTTGACCATGGGGCTGCCCTCTTGATCGCCGCCGCCGCCGCCCCCCGGCGCCCCCCCTCCCGCGCCGCCGAGCGCGACCTCCATCGTGGCGGCCACCCCCGACAGCTCCAGGTCGACCCCCGGGGCCCTCAGGGCGGCCGTCGCCGCATGCCAGGGGCTCAGCTCGTAGATTTTCAGCAGCACCCCCTGGTTGCCGGATGGTGGTGGTTTTGTGCACACTCGTAAATGAGGCTAGTGTACACACGGGTGTCAGACGTGCGTGGGAATGCAAACCTGCTGGCTTGCGCTTGCAGATGCGGGCGGTCGAGACTGCACGACAAGTCGCGCGCTTGGCGCTGTCTTCTGGATGTAACGAAGCCACGCAGCCCAGGAGGCGCCTTGACCAAGCGGCCCGGGGCCGCGGTGTCGGGGGACGAGCGGGCAGTCGCGCCGGCAACCAAAACCGCGACCGTAGAGGCGGCAAACAGGCTCCCTTGCAGGGGGCTCATACGATCGCATTTGCACAAGCACACTGGGCCATGGGGGGCGCCCAGGATGACGGGGGGCCTGGGATTTGCCGCACGCGGGCACACCTGTGGGCCGGGGTTCTTGGCGGCGATCCTGATTGTGACCTCATCCGCCACTGAGTAGGCCTCAACGTTGTGTGGCTCAAACTCCTGTGCCCAGCCAGGCAGCATGCATGTGAGTGTTGGAGGAGGGGAGTGCATCCTGCATCGCTGGGGCGATCCTGGGCCAGGGCGGCTGTTGTTCAACCGTGTTGGGGCTGGCCGGCGCGCGGCGTGGGCGCTGATTGGAGGGGGGGCGCCCAAAAGCAAGCGCAGCCAGGGCGCGGCGCAAGACGCAGCCCCGCCCGAGACCGTCGCTGCACGGACGAGAGGCGCCGAGGCCGGGCCGTGGAATCCCTAAAACCCTGCTCACCAGCATCACGGATTCCTGGAGGTCTCTGAGATCTGCCGTGCCCCCTGCCCCCTGCGCCCGCTGGAATTCTCGCGCCCACGCCGCTGCATCGCCGCGGCCGCCCAGCAGCTTGCCGCTCGCCACCGCCACGGCCGCGTCCGCGGGCGGCAGGCCGCAGCTGCTGAGGCCGAAGGGGGCGGGGGCGCCGGGGGCGAAGGCGCCGGCGGCTGCGGGGTGGGGTTGGGGTTGGGCTTGAATTAGTAAAGCCCGCAGATGATGAATTGTTAGTCCGAGGTACCAGCAATCGATTCCTGGACCAACGTGTGACGTATCTTGGACGTTGGGACGAGATGGACCAGGACGAGCCATCAACAACGTCGAGGGTTTCTCTATCGCCACTACTTTGCGTGAGCACAGGCAGCGAGCCAACCCCAAAGTGGGCAGCTGCCCACCGTCCTGCCAGGCCGCGCGCGTGAGCAGGCGGGCGGCGCGGCGCCACAGCTGGTCCT